GTATGTTTGGTTTTTGCTTTTCATTTTTTTTTTCTTTGAAGTTTTTCGAAACGATAGAGAATAACATCGAACACAAAGTGAAGAGGTTCAATACAGACATAGGCCTACTGGCCACTAGAACTGGTTGGACTACAAAAGTAGTCAAACAAGATCCGAAGGGAACCAAAAGCAATGGCCTATAAAAGAAAAAAAGAAAAACTAATGGATGTAGATAGAGGCGTGTTTATATATCTTTTCATCACTTTCCACTAGACAAAACAAAGCCGATCCTTTACACAATAACCACTAGCACTGGCACAAGTACCCTACTACAAGAATTCTAATAATTCATAAATTACGATGATTCATTGACAGACGTCAGCCACTCCACCAAAGCTGCCTCAATTGTTGTTATTTCAGGCCTTCAACCATCCTCAATAGCCTTAGGTTATCTGTTATCCATAGCCACCAAGTAGATAGGTTGTGAACTGAATTCGTGAATCTGACGTATTTTAGCCCACCAATGAACAAAAGAGACATCTTCATTCATCAGACCATCCTATTTGACTGGTGATAGCTCCCAAATTTTTCTCCCTCTGGCAGTGAGAGAAGATGTGCTCTGTTGTTTCACAACAATTGTTAGATCTCAGGTCCACCTAGACTCTTCTCATCTTCAAGTAAGTCTTCGTGGGCAGGATTTTTGAGTAGCATTTACACAGAAAGTGTCTAACCTTGCAAGTACCCTGGCTTTCATCAGGACCAAGTGATCATTAGTTGATCTGATTCTTCCTTGATCTAACTGTGAAACCAACCAACAAGACTTACCTAATTGCATAGACATAAATATAATGTTGAGGATTTTATCAGAATATTTCTCAGAAAGACAGGTTTTACCATGTTAGTATTCCAATTGCAAGTATTAGGATCAGTCATAACTTCCAAGTGACACGGTGCAGAAGAGTGGACTGAGGTTTTAAATAGATAGCTCCTGAGTTCCAAGTGTAATATCAAGTTCTAATGTTTTCCTAGCCCGCACCTCATATCTGATCCCCTTGTCCAACGACTCTAGCACTAGCCCAACTTCTCCAGAGCCAAGATGCAGTAGGTTTTACATCTATTTTATCCTCAGGTAAGCTATTATGAAAATATTTGGTAGATCTTAAGAAACAAAGAGATTGGGGTTAGTAAGAGTTATTCAGAGCTTTTAAGTAAGAAGGGCCTTGTCAAAGAGCTTCAGATTATAAAAGTCAACCGCCCTGCATCTTTATGGTCAATGATTTTTGTCCAGAAAATATCCAGCCCATTTTTCTGTTACGAGCTTCACCAGAATTTAGCTATAAATTGAATAATCATTTTCAGAACACCGTCAAGTATTCTAAAGCAAGCTGCAACAAAAATCGGTAAAGCATAAAAAACAGTCCCAATAAGAGTTTCTTTCCCATGCTGATGGAAATTTATTCTTCTACTACACAAAAGGTTTTGGAGAGCTTCAATTACTAAGGAAAAGACCCCTGTTTTAGAACTTTCGATGGGTAAGTAAGCCAATGTATCTACGAGATTTTTGAGGCTCAACTCCCTTGCGCATAACAGAAATATCCGTCTGAGCATTTTAAGGACATTATGGAGAATTGATCGAAGTTAACCACTTGACCAGTTATCCCTCTATTGATCCCAAAAATATTCATATAACAAGGGCTTGATCCACAGTTGGCCTCACTAAGCAAAATAGAGTCCTCTGCAAGAACTAAAGGAGTGGTCTGAGGAGCATTTCTACAAATTTTAAGGCCCAACAAATTATTCTTAGCGACTCTTTTTTTGATAAGGCAGGAGAAGAGCTTGGACAGTAACAACAATAAGTAGGGGGAATATGGTCCCCAATTGTCAGCCCTCTAATAGAAATGAGATTCCCACTCACCATCCCGGAATTATTAATAGAATAGGAAGTGGAAAGCACACAGGAAACCACTCAATTAACAAAGACACCAGCAAAATCCATTTTAAGGATGATCAACTTGATACTCTCTCGCACTGCACTCGTTCTTAGGCTCTCGCCATGTCAAGTTTAATGGCCATATACACTTTTCTCCTTGTTCAGTGCCTATTGAGAAAATGAATGGATTCTTGAGTAATAATGGTATTATTAGACGAACTGTCTATTGGGGACAAAGGCGACTTGGTTTCAAGTTCTCAAGAAACAATTTTTTTTTTTTCTTTCTTGTGGGGGAAAAATTTATTACAGTGTGTTTTGGATAGGTAGGCAGTAAGCCAAACTTCAGTATCTTATCTCCTCAAATAATCTATATTTATGCAGGTGCAATTTCATGAACTTTGCAAAGAACATGAAATGCCTGGAATGTGAAGGATCCCGACCAAAGAGGCAGCTAACTGGCGGGGAGTGGGATTGCCCTCAGTGAGCAACTTTTATTTTTCTTTATTTTTTAATTTTTTTTATTTGTGTGTGTATTTGTTCCATAGTTACCATTTTGTAGCAATAGAAAAGCGCTTGTTGAAAAATTGATCATCAATGTAAATATTTGCAGATGCAATTTTTTTAACTACGGACGAAATTTCGCCTGCTTACGTTGCGACTGCAGGCGACCCGGGGCCCCACTGTCTACCGACAGCACCTCCCAACTCAATTCAGTGCATAACAATTATTTCCCTAACAAAACCAACACGGATAATGAACGGAGCAAGAATGCTCAACAATGGTTCAGTAAAATCTCCAAACTGAACAGTGCCAACAGTACCGATAATGCGGCTTTAAACGAAAGAGCAAGCCCGATGGATAACATTCGTCATTCCCAATATTCAGAAGCCAAAAATGGAAATTTTCAGAATCAAGGAAGGGAAGGAGAAGCCGAAAAATCTGAAAGATGGTTTGAGAAAATGTCCGAGCTACACAATGTCAAGGACCTGCCGAGCGCGGTTTTGGAAGAGGACTTCCCGGAAACTATGCCGATGCTTAAAGGTGAAAGCAGATTCGTGGTTGGGAAAAAGAAAGACCCTTCTCTCACATCATCAAAGAACAAACAACCCGCCATGGACCAGGCGAATGGCACCAATTTTGTGCCATTTGTCCCGTTCCCTCCCGGCTATTTTGCAAGGAAGGATAATGATGCAGATCGACCCCCGAGTCGAGATCTGCCAGAGGTTAAAAAAGGTGATCCAAAAACGATAAATCTGGAAAATTCGAATTTTTCGAGTGGAGTTCATGACCAACCATCGAGCCCGACTTCGGAAAGTACTGAGCAAAATAATGTGGGGCCCAGAAATGGAGGATATTGCGCGGGAAAGAGCTTGGAAGGGTCGAGCGTGAAGGAGAGTGATCCACTCGACATGTCTGAGGAGGCAATAAATGAGAGGTGGTTCAGACGTGCAGCCCAGATTAAAGATATATCGGAGCTTAGTCAGATACCGGACGAGGATTTCCCCCCAATAATGCCGATGTTGAAGGGCGTGAACAGGTTTGTCGTGAGCAAGCGAAAAACCCCGCTCGAGAGGCGGCTCACTTCACAAAAGTACAAAAGGAATCTGCCTATTGTAAGTAGTGAGTCCGTGAAGAAGGAAAGTGATGGCAGCTAAAGTGCAAGTCTAAATGACTTAGTGTTGTCTTCAACTCAGAGTGTAATGGGGGACAACTATGGAAAAAAGAAGAGTAAAGAAAATAAAAGAAATGGGTATTCAATCTGTATGAACTGTATGATGTAGCTGCAGTTTGTGGGTGATTTGTTTACATTAAGCTAATTACGAATCTATAAACTTATAGAACTTATATTAACTATGTTTGTTGAGGGTAACCTAAAAATGTAAAAGGTGAAGATTGATTGATGTCTAGCCCGGTCGACCCTAGCAGAATATCTGAACATGATATGAGTAGCACAAGATGAGATTTATTAACCAAAATAAATAACTAAAACTAGTGTGCCAGGGGAACGTAATATTGATGGTGTTGCGTTTGTTTGTTTGTTTGTTTGTTTTTTTTTTTTTCAGTTTGTAAATTGAAAAAAGGGGAAGGTAATATTGATGGTGTTCCTATTCTTTTCTATTCTTTTTGCAGTTTGTAAATTGAATAAATTTGCAGGTTTAAGCCACATTTACAGTTAGTTTCAAAGTAGTTATTTGAAATTACAGAATTCTATGGAGTCATCGGATGACTCCCTTATGGAGCTATCCATAATTTTATGTACTGACACATGTCCAATGTGTATTTATTGCAGGACACGTGTCAATAAATCATTTGTGAATAACTATGGATGACTCCATAACCCAAGACATCCGATGACTCCATAGCAAAACCGATTTAAATAGCTTTTTCTAATACGGACTCAGTACAAAAGTTTTACATTATTTTTGTGGTAGTGTAAGTCGACCTCGACATGGTCTGATGGCCTTCGATCCGTCTTTGAACTAGTAAAATGACCTGCAAAATAGCACTGAGGGTTGTCTAGGCGTAGAAGCTTCGACGCTGAACTGTACTTATAAGAGTTCATAATATTTAGAATGTGTACAGAGATGATGATGATACCTCCCTTTTTTATATAGAGATGTTTTCTTATTTCTCAATATCTGTTTGATCTTGCTACCCAAGTGCCCGAACTACCCAGTCACATTACCTGAGTTTCTGAACTACCCAAATTTATTATACATGTGTCGTTACCGACGTGTCCTCTTATCTTTATTACATTTGTACTTACCCACTATCTAGTGTGTTCTTATTAACCTACCTCATTAGGTAATCACTTTAAGCGTAATCGTGCTATCACCCCATTCCTCTTAAACTGGGTTATGGTCTTTAATGAGTAAATATGCTTTTTAGGTCCTTCATCAATCTCTTTACTTTCGGGTCGAGTTTCGACAAGACTATCCGAGAGTCCTAGCTTGAGCTATTGCTGAATTAGTTTACCTCGAAGGTCATTATCGACCTGGTAGTTTCCCGTCCCTGAGTTTTCCTGCTATCCAACCTCTGATCGGCCTGTCGGTCTACTCGAACTGGTCAAGTTGCTCTTAGGTCTTACACGACCTAAAGTTTGGTATAGTATACCATATCAATACCCCCACTCTGGTCGAGTTATGATAACTCGATCTAAGAGTAGAACCCAATACTTTTCAAATAAGAGATAACACAATATGTGTTGGTTGTCAATATGGTAAAGCACATCAACTACCATTCGAAGATTCAAGCTACAGAGCAAAGAACTACGGAAAATTCACTCTGACATATTCGGGCCAGTTAAACAACCTTCGATCAACAGTATGCACTATATGGTGACATTTATCGAGGACTTCTCAAGGTACGTTTGGGTATTCTTTATTGAACATAAATTAGAAGCATTCTCAAAGTTTAAAGATTCCAAAGAAACTATTGAAAGAGAAGTTGGAGATAAGATCCAGTGCCTTCACATGAATAAGGAGGAGAATACACATCAAAAGGATTCTCACGATTTCTGAAGGAGCATAAGATACACCATCAGCTGACGTGTCCAAACACACCTCAGCAAATGACATAGCAGAAAAAAAAAAATCGACACCAGGCATAAACGTGTCAAGGCATGATACATGCAAAAAACATACCAGCGAGATTCTAAGCAGAATGTATGAAGACGGCGACCCACGTGATAAATGATACCCGAAGAAAATCTGGTATTCATGTCACAATTTGAAAAGCTATGGAAAATCAAACCAACTGTTAGCTACTTCAGAGTCTTCTAATGCGTCTGTTATGTGTTCGTACTAAGTCCCTTACGGAGCAAATTTGACAAAAAAGCAATCAAATGCATACTCTTGAGACGTGACAACCAAAGAAAAGGGTGGAGATGCTGCGATCCATCAACTGGTCAGTGTTAGCACATCACGCAACATGATATTTGATGAAGCATCTTCTTGGCGGACACCGCATAAGTTGAAGCTAATGGAATCGAAAGAAATCAAGGATAAGCTCTAGAAATGGGTAAAACTTCTAGAAGCAACTCAAAGAATGGAAGAATCAGACGAGGAAGGAGAGTCACTAAGAACAACTCAATGTTCGTGGCAGACCGGTGTATATGAAATAACTCCAGAAGTGATGAGGCCATCTCAACTCGAGGAGATTGAGCCACCAGGAGAGAAAGAAGACGAAGTACCAGCAAGTCCACAAAAACTACGGAGATCTAAAAAGAGGCCAAAATCTCAGGTACGCCAATATAGCATACAAGTATAAAGGAGCCACAAATATTTGAGGAAACAATTAAACATAAAGAATGAACAAAAGCAATGAATGATGAGATTATGGCTCTCAAAATGAAACATGGGACTTAGTATTCAAACCTAACAGAGTTAAACCCATATCTTGTATATTGGTTAATTTGTTGGCATATGATGTGGCAAAAACATGGTGAAGAGTTTCAAAGATTGATACGACACAAGCCTCATAAGTGCCACGTAATATTTCTGATCGGACACGTTAACAAGGATTGACCGAAAAATAATTTTGAGACAAATTTACAACACATAATAAAAGTTCTATATGTAAAGATAAAAATATTGAGTTTTATTTAAAATTACACAAGGTAGAGATTTGATGTGCAATTAAGTCTATACAAAATAAAGAATGACTCTCATTTTCTGTTTTCAACTTCAACAATTTAGGCATCAACAGAAACCATTATTGTTATATTTTCCCTTTCATTTGGCCCCTCTGAATAACTTTCTTCATCGTCTCACACTCAATATTAATTTTTTTTTTTTTTCCTTGATCGCCTTCTTGAATCTCTTTGGGTTTCAATAATCCGCTGTCATATCTATCTGGGTTCTGTTTCTACTTTTATTCTGAAAAGGAAAGAAAAAAAGCCTCCCCCAAATAATTCTAACCCCTTTGCATCCTAGCTGGGTTTGCTGGTATCAGATTTTAATGTAATGATAGGATGTCTTGTCCGAAAACATGCGAGCTGATCTACAGCTCAGACATGGAGAGACAGAGAGATTAAAATAGAACAAAGCTGGTACGATTTTTCGGAGTATTTTTTTTTTTTT